GTAAGGGATTTAAACTTTACTTTGAATGTAAAGGCTTATCAACAAAAGCTTCTGAGCAAGAAAAAGAGATCAATAAATGCCTTTATCAAAGTAACTTTGTTATATAGAACAATGAAAATCATTAGAGTTTTTTAATTTGTATTTGTTGATTTAGAATAGTAGCCTTTTAAAAATATAAGTTACATCAAACAAAATTTCATTTATTATAGATAAGTATTACTATGACACATTAAGTAGTACCTTTCTCCACCACAGGAGTCGATGACGTAACCAGAAATCAAGCCAGTGGCCGGCAGTTCTCCCCGAAGTAAACCATACCAGTGAAGCTTCAGTCCTCTCACTGATTCTTTGGATATCAGAAATATCAGATGGTTACTAACCTGAAAATTATATAATCTTATCTCAAAGTGAAAATGACTGGCGCTTGACTATTTAAATACAGTAAAGTCAAGTTATTTGCCATTTTTCTGTACCTTTTAACACCATCAGGTGTCTGCTTAGTATCAGAAATAGGTTGAAAACACACTCCAATCTGAGCAAGGCCATAAGGTAGCCTCTTGTTTACCAGATCCAGGCAATTAACATAGTGCTCCAAGGCGCCTGTGAAAAGAGAAATCAATCATCATGTAAATCTAATCTACAATCTCAAACCATTTTGGTCAATTTATAGACAAATTAATAATCCAATAATGCTAATGCAGCAGTACAAGTAGGGTGAAAATATCGCTATGGTTTAATTTTTTTATTTTAATGTGATATGATCCATTACCAACAATATTTAAATGTTCAATTTGTCCCAAATTTAGACAGCGTGTGTCTCCTTCAAGCCACACCCATGTCTTTTTGATATGACCCCACTAGTCTTCGAGTAATTCTTTGTTTTGTAGCACCATAAAACGTCCCACACTGACTTTGTACTTTCCCTGCTCCAGGCCTGAAATCAGCCATTTCTCCAAGCACTAGTTCATTTTAGAAACCAAAATCTGGGTACTAGGTGTGCTCACTGCTGTTGTCATTGCTTCTAGGTCCTTTCAAAGAAGAAAGTTAGGAAATACATATTTTTTAAAATTGTGACAAAAAAATCATGAGTTCATAATGATATTGTCAATTCAAATTTAACATTACAAAGTTTATTCTTTTCTATTTGTATCTCTTTACTATTACATTGAAAATCTTGGTTTCCAATATTAATCTATCCATCTATTTGCTTTATGCTATAATATATATAAAAGTTTTAGAATTATAATTCCAACATTTCTACTTAGAAAAATCTAAGATCTATTTGTAGTTCTCTATGCTAGTTATATAAAAGATTGTATCCCACTAAATGACAGCGCTGTATTCAAAGTTACCTGATTTGAGATTTCCATTTCTGATAATAGTAGACTAACTTGTTGATAATAAAAAAAGTTGGTCAAGAAACTTTTATAAAAAATCTGTTTAAAGACATAGGAGAGCTATCAAGGCAGTAAGGACTTGAGGGTCCAAAATTTGGAGAAAAGAGCAGAGAGGTAAACTCAACATTTAGTGCTGCTTTTCCAATTCTCAGGTTGCAGAGACGAGAAGCTGAAACGCTGAGCAGAGCTTCTTGAAATCTTATGGAATTTGGAAGTACAAAAATTGCAGTTTCTGGATCATCCAGCAGGAGGCTCTAGTAAACACCCCAGCCTTTCACTAGGGACACTCGAAGGGCTACACTTGAGTCGAAGGGCTACACTTGAGGTGTAGAGATGAAAAGACTGAAGCTCAGCCTTCAATAAACTTAATCCTAGATTGTATTAAGATATGCTCTTACTCTAGCTGCCTGCCAAAAATAAAAGTAAATCCTCCTGGGAAGAAAACACCTATAATTCATCTCTATAATTTGTACACAAATTACCTAGAATATCAGAACATCCAAATGACCAGAAGCCCAGAGAAAAACATACTAGAAACAGATATATCTGAGTTATCAGACATACTTTAAAATGTGATTCTGTCCAAGAAAGATGGGGAGAATATCTAACATATGTGTAGTCACAGGACAGAAGTAAAAGAATGGGGTGGTAACTTGGAGACATAATGGCTGAAAATTAAAAAAAACTAACCATAAGTAGAGGCTCCTACAATAGCTCAGACATGGAATAAAGAGAGCCAGGGCATTGGGAATAGAAAGAAAAGGTAAACTGGGTAACTCTAAGCTAAAAACAGTAGACACCTGAAGGATTTGGCAAATAAATGGATGTAAGTTTCCTAAAGGTAAGAAAGTGTCTGGCACACCGCAGATGCTTTGATGGACATCTAAGAGAGCTAAGTTTCATTTTCTAATAAGGAAGAAAAGATTGATTTGTTTTGGGACATGGTAATGAGCAGTGATTTAACTACCCCCAAAATAAAGCCATCATGGAATAAAGTAGTATAAATCAAAATTGTCACATTTATTCAAGTTTTGTTTTGGTTTATTTTCTTAAGGAAATCTTTAAAAAGTTACAATATAGGTACTGATTTTTAGAGCACCATGAACACTGGTTCTTATAAATTACAGTACCTCGTAATGAAAAATGGCAAGGACAGCATTTTGCAAAGATGAGCTGCTGTGATAGCAAGTCTATAAAGAACCTGAATTTTTTTTCTGATCTCTGCAATCGTGTTCTACTTGACTTTAAAGGCAAACGGTCGCCTCTAAGTTTCTGTGTATTCACTGGAGAATCACTATAAAGCTCGATTAGTCCTATTATTTTGCAAACTCAATAATTATCTAAAGGGTTCTAGAAACAAGATTGTAGATCGTTTTCAGTAAGAAAAACTGGAGGGCGTTTTCTTTTTGCTCTAGAAAAAGGAGCTTTGATTAGCCTATTGTGTGTAAAATTGAAGGGTGACTGTAGACAAACATTTCGGCAACGATGAACAAATGATTTAAAACATGATTTAATTTAGGTCCTAATTCTAGGGAGACTCAATTGGACTCTAAAATTCTAGGGTTGCCCCGTGAAAGTGAGAGCGTTACCAAGCCCTCCGGCCAGATTCTTTTAAGGAACAGTAACGATTCAATGGACCAGCTTTCTCCAGGGTAGAAGCACCATCAATACATTTACTTAACTACTTCAAAATGTTGAGAACCTGGTAACCTTTCCAGGTGAATAAAAGGCCAGTTGCAATTCGCGAAATCAAGCGAGATTGCCTTTCCACCCCAACCTATTTTGAAGCATGAAATCAAGAAGCATACCGTGAAGAAGGTTCTCCCGTAGTTTCCCAGAAGTTTTTAATAAGTTCTCAAGAAATGCTACTAGCTGTTCCTTACTCAGCTCTTTGTCTTGCAAGATTTCGCGTAGAGTTTCTGCAGAAACTAACCTGAAGGCACTGTCCCCAGGCGGCGCAGGGCCTGGTTCATGGTGGAGGGCGTCCACCGGAAAGACCTGCTCCCGGAACACCACCACCGAAGACCACCATTCTGCCGCCAGGTTCTTCCGCAATTCTATGCCCAAGGGGCCAAAGCCGGAGTGGCACCCGGTCAGGAGAGAATCTCGGGTAACCTGCCGCTTAGTGCCACTGAGAAAATGCCTTCTTTGACAAATCTCTATCAGCGCTTCGCTCCCCTCATCAGACTCTGGGGCTTCTCTTGGTTCGCTCCCCCGAGGCAGCTCCGCGTGCGACCTCAGGAGCCCTCCGAGGGGGTTACTCTCTTCCGCCAACAGCTCTGGCTGGCCCCCATTGACTCGACCCCCAAACCCAGAAAACAGGCACCTGCAGACTTTCTGGCAGGCCCTGATGGTTGCACCGGGGCGCATCACCCTCAGGAATTAAAGAGCAATCTTCTATTTGCTAGCGAAAGCCGCCACAACAAAGAACCCCGGAACCAACTGCGCAGGCGCGCCGGAAGTGAGCTCGCGCTCAGCCGGCCCCGCCCACGGAAGTGCGTCTCTGTGTCCCCGCTGCGGCAGCCGCTGGTCTACCCCAACATTTCATGGCGGAGTCAGGCCTCGTACCCTTTCACCTCAGTAAAGCCCGGTCCCCCAGCCATTGCTATTCTTTATCTGCCCTCATCAGCCCTGATAAATATTCTCATCTACTTTTCATTATCGTTCCGTAGCCACTATTGAGTCAGCTTTTCTTTCCTTTTTGCAAAATCACCTCCTAGACACCACTTTCTCAATTGTGTTAACGAAAATGAATTTTGGTTCCCGTTTTTCTAGTCCTTTATGGTTTAGACCCAGGTCTTCGCTGCAACTCTATTAGGTAAACGCACTGCAAGCATGCCTACGTTCAGACAATTCTCCTGGGTGTGGGTGGGGTTGTGAGGGGGAAGGGGCAGTCCCTTCACACACTGGAGTGGTTCTCAAAGGGGAATCCGCGAATGGCACCTGTATCACCGAGGAACTTATAAAAAACCTGCCGAGAAAGCCAGCAATTTTAAACAAGCTCTCCCGGTAAATGTGGAGGCACGCTCGAGAACCACTAATGTGTATCAAGTTCTAGCAGGGGTCCACCTCCTGGGCGTCCATCAAAATATTCAATAAAACTTGATTACCCGTTTAAAATGGAGATCGATGATTACCCCAAGCTTGAGTTTAGCCTCCATTTTAACTCAAAAAAATTGCCCAAATACTGGGTAAGAGGTACAACCCAGAGGAAAATGGTTGATTCCGAACTCCGTGATTCCTACTTCCAGCTTCCCTTCAAAGTAAGGAAACCTTGGGCAAGTAATTCAAACGCAAGGAACAAGCTGCCAGATCGGTTGGACTACCAGGAAGGTGCAGTTTATGAAACTAGCAATTGTTAATGTAATATAAGAGCAGTTATTTTTTCATTATGTAAGTGTAGGACAAGTTTAGAAGACCATTCCATACAAGCAAGTGTGTGCAAATCTATAAAAAGAGAACTAGAAAATTTAAAATGTACTGCTGGAAATCAATTCTATTAACTGCAAAGTGGGCACTATCAACATGTTTCCCACAAAGGAAACACACACCAGGAAAGAGGCCCATACACAAATAAATGAGAGAGAATGGGAAGAAAAATCACATTTATTAGTTAAGACAACCACAGGCTGGACACAACACACATGCTAAAAAGTGGACTGTCTTAAAATTTACTTCAAAGGTAAATAGGTAAATGTTTTCCACAGCCCCACAATCATTTCAGTGTTTACAAATTAAAAGGCCCACATTAGACATTAAACAGTAAAATATGTAATAAATACTCCAACCTATCCTTAAGTCATAATGAATTTGACCTACCATGCTATTGAAAACTGCTTAGTTATTAAAGGTTGAATCAGTTTTCAATTAGTCCTAAAAAATACCACTCCCCACCCGCCCTTCACGCAAATTCTAGTTTGAGAGATAAGGCATTAACACCAATTAAAGCCTGTTTAATCATTTAAATGAGGTCTCACAAGGACCTCTCCTCTCCTGGCAAAAATGCACATACCACTCTCCAGAAGACATTCAGACCTACTTCTAGCCATTACTGAAATCAAGTATTAGAAAGGTTGGTGAGCTTAAGTTAAACCTAAAGCTACTCCCAGATCTTTCTAGCAGTAAAACCCACGTTGACCTTGGCAAGACTTGTACTATTGTCACTGTGCTTTTGGTTATGTTGCTCCCTCCCGGTTATAAATTTTGACAAAGATTTTTTTGTGTTCGTTCAAATATGAATAGACCTCAGTTTGAAGTCCTTTAGAGTTCCCTGGATTTATTATTGTAAAGACATTCAATGACTCCCAGTGTGATTACACTTAAGAGCCCCAGAAGCCTGTGAAGACTAGAAGAATGTTTATAACTTGCACTGAGAATACAGAAAATTCAAAACTTAGCTCCTGCAACCTTATTTTAAAAGGTGTAATCTTAGCTTTGTTCAACATTCCAGTAATTCACAATAGAGCCAAGAGCATAAACATAGCTGCTTTTGAAAAAAGCAAGTTAATACTTGAGTGTTTCAAATAAATCTTGCAAAAAGAACAAAATTGTCCGTGTTGTTCTCACACTAACCAGTTTGAAGGTGGGCTATAGTTGATCATTTCCTATTTTAATACCTCACCACTTAGTAAATGGGCTATTAAATGACTCACCTGTTGGGAGGTACTGACAAAGTCTTTATGCGATTTAACCTAGAATTATCAATTTACCTAAATCAATCTCATTTTAATTCTTATAATATGAACACATCATTTTAAGGGCTTTCTGATATCCCCACTTCCCAAAACTAAATTATGGAAAGAAGCAATTTAATTTTTGATTAAATAAAAACCATCTAAGCAAAGTTTTACATGATAGTATATATGTAAAATAAAGTACAATTTCCACTTAATTCAGTCTTCAAATATTTTTATTGGAAGGCCATGCATTGCCTTCATTTATTGTATTTCAAATCACTGTACATTTACTTTTGTGAAAACACTGCCTGCATTTTCTAGTACAAAAAAAACCTAAAAATTGTTTCAGGAATGTAGAGAAATATCCAACTTAAATAGCGAAAAAGTGCACCATAATTACTGCTGCACTGCAGTCATTTCTGCATTTCCCATGTTTCTTAAATAACTATCTTGTTTGATAACACACAATATAAAGAGCAATTATGAAAAACAGACATTTACATATACTTCTAAAGTCTTATTGAGAATATCCGGTTGGCATTGGATAACCAATCATAGGCGCAGCTGCAGTAGCAGGATATGCATATGCCTGTTGGTTCATACCATTGTGCATATTTGGAACATTACTTCCATATTGCTGAGTGCTATCATAACCATTCTGGTAAGTCCCTGTTGGATTACCAGTCCTAAAACTGGTCTGTATACCAGCAGACACAAAATTACTTCCAAAGCTCCCATTGGTGTAATTTGCAGCACTGTAAACACCATTCTGGGTTTTTGCCCCAAAATCTCTCTTAAGCAGACTAGAGTAACCTCTGTCATAATTTTCCCTGTCTCTAAAGGTATTAAATCCACCCCTTTTGCCTGCAGAGTATCTGTCCCGACGGTCATCCTTCATGCCTCCTCTACCCCTGGAACGACCTGTCAAGAAAAATAATTGCAAACTGATTATTTCTGACACAAATCATTACTAACCCAGAAGGAATAGGTAGTCCTTAATCGCTACAGCTGTGAAGCAGTTTCTCAACTTAGTCACACAAAGATTTTACTCACCTGCCAATTCCATTTTAATGGGTTTGTAGACAATTATGTGACCCCAAACCACCAACATTTCTTATTGAAGATTGGTCTTACCTGAACCTCTGTCTTCGACCAACTGAAGCAACTTGGGATTAATTGCTTGATTAGCTTCACGAAGCACAGAGATAAGGTCGCTCACTTGCTTTATGTTATTAGGTGTAAAGAAAGTGTATGCTGTGCCTGTTTTGGTACTGCGAGCAGTTCTTCCAATTCGGTGAATATAATCCTCTGAGGAGTTAGGGTAGTCATAATTGATGACAAATTTCACATCTTCCACATCTGTAAGGTGTTGCAGTGTGGCAAAATAGTAATGTACGGAGTTTTGCACACCACAACAGCCAGACCAAAAATAAAAAGTTAGACAATTGTATTCCCAAGAAGGTACGGGCTGCAAAAAATACAGTTAAAATGGTTATCCATTCCCTGTAGGAATACCATTGAGGTTGAAAAAATAAAGTACACATCATCTGTATGTCTTAATACCCACCCGAGAGCCTGTCAAAGGATGTGTATATTCCTTAATAATTCCCAAATCAGCCAAGTCCCCTTAGAGATCATCAAGTGACATCTGAATGCTTCTGTGCAGTAGGGCCACTTAAAGGTTCACAGCAACCTCTTCGTGTGTTCATTTTAAGGACCGTTCAACAAAAATGTACATGGTCCTCTGCATTACAGACTCATCAGAAAATCAAAATTCTGGCCACACTGCTCGTCTTGCCAAGACCTTACAACCGCAGCTGCAAGAAAAACATACCTGTCCCCCAAAAGTTGTTTTTATGCACTGTCTCGTCTAGGCAAGCGCTTCCAAGAAGCCAGGATTCACTTGAGAATGTGTCTCTCTCTGGCAGGTCTCGACATGACGACTACTGTGTAGGTGAGGGAGGAACTTTCAAAGCATCGCTTTCTTTTCCCACTGACTAAGTGTGAGAAGTTGCTCCTGCTCTAGAGCTCATGTGCCAGTACTCACCAATTTGTAAAAGGCTTAGTACCTTTTAAAGCTGCTCTCTCCATTTCAAACTTGAACAAAAATCTCACTGAACATTGATTGATGTTTGGAAATATTTCTTCGACATTTCAGCAAACTCACTGAAACTCAAAGACCCACAGATCACAGTCAACAGTTTGAAACAATGCTGTACCATGGCAGTCATGCAAAGCATGGGACAGAAGAAATACCACGGCAGTGAACTGTGAGGATAACTTCCATTTTTTTCCCTCGGAGAGAACAGTTTACGGGGCAGAGGTGGTATGTTCTGCCTTTTGAAGATTACTGGCACACTTTCAGCTTTTCACCTCTCTAATCGACTGGAAGCAGCCAGCCGATCTCTAGTCCTCCATCCCCCTCGAGTCCTCCGATTGTCATGCCTAGGCCTTGCCACAAAGACTGCACCTTTATATGAAAAAAACTTAGAAAAAATGCAGAGGTTAAAGAAAGCAATAAACTTTCTTTAAAAATTATATGGAGATCTTCTGGAAAACCAAGCCATGAATTCGAGTTTGTACTAACCTAGCCCTCTGGAGGCCACATCTGTAGCAATCAGAATAGGGGCTTTTCCATGTTTGAATTCTGTAAAAGAAGGCACATATGTGATCACTAATCTGAGCAAAATTCTAGGTTTTGAGGGGGTTAAAAAAAGATCTTTATTTGAAATACTTGCCATTTAGAACCCAGTCACGTTCCTGTTGACTCTTGTCACCATGAATACCCATGGCG